TCGGATATGACGAATAGTCGTGTACACGACAGTAAAATGAGCGTCGCTCGAGGAGGCGCGCGTTCTCCCTGAATACGCTTATTGGTCGGTGGGCAGTGCATGTGGTGTTGGGCTGACGGTGCCCGAGGGGGCCACGGGAAGCCATCAGGGCTTCTTTATCGCTCCCCTTACCGCTACGTCATCTTAATAGGCCGAAGATAGCGGTTATGATTTGGGATCTGACCTCGCTCTCCCCTTTCTGCTATTGACTTAGTCATGAGGCGATCGTAGACCGCCTCTTCTCGCGCGAAAAGGAGAGGGCATGGCGGTGGGCTTCCCTATCGTTTGGATTGCGCGGCGATTGCGAGCCTCCTGGCTGCAGTGGCGTGGGCGTGGCCTCCGGCCCGGGCAGGCGCTCGCGGCGGGTACTCTAGTACTCCTCGTGCTGCCGAGGTGCCCGAGGTAGAGGTAGTTCCCGCTCTCGGTTTGCGCGGCCGGGACCGCGAGACCGCGAGCAGACCGCGAGCGCCGGCGGCGCCAAACGACTTGGGTTCGGTGGACCCGCGAGCCCGAGCCGCTGCCGAGCCCGAGCCGAAGTCTTCCCTCGACCGCGACGGCAGCGCGCTCTCGCTACTGTCACGGTCGTTCGTCGAGGCTCGGGCGACAACATTGCGTAATTCCCCCCGTTCTGCCGCCCCACGGTCACTTCAGCTGATGCCAACAGAAATCGTGAAATCTGCTCTCGTTCCCAGGTCCCTTGGCGTCGCCATGGTGCTCGCGGCGGCTGGAGAGACGACGGCCAAGTCCAGCACCAAGTCCAGCACCAAGTCCCGGGCCTCGCGGTCGTCGCGCTCGTCGGCCCGCGCGAGCAAGCGCGGCGGGGGTTGGTACTGCTGCCCCTGCCCGCTGACATCTCTGCGGAGCGGCGGCGGCAGGGGCGCGACGTGCGGTCGGGGAGGTGTCGGAGGCCCAGAGGACGGAGGGGTATGGCCCGCGCCGGCCAAGTTCTACTGCTGTCGCGCCGACCTGGTGGCCGCCATGGCGAGGGAGAGGACCAACAACAACGAGTCCGCCAAGACAATGGATGAGGACAGCGACGGCTACGTCGCGGTCGAGCAGGACGTCGAAGACGACACTCTGGACTTCGAGATCGCGGAGGAGGCCCTGCCCGACTCCACCTTCAGGGAGGTGTTCGACAGGTCCCATCAGCAGGACACCGACGAGTGCTGGCAGGTTGCTGAACCGGTAGGTTGGAGTGCCGTGTGTGTATGTTTGAGTGCGCGCGCGCGCGCCATTCGTCGCGCTAGCACTCTTGTTGTACTGCCCGAGTGATTGCTTACGTCGCAACTGTGCCCACAAAGGGAATGTCTATAAAGGCGTCTCAACGTTTACCGCCATCAGAGCCGTGAGAGAGCAGTGCTCATTCCCTGTCCACTAACTCTAGTCTCGCAGTCGAAATATTTTTTGTCAATCTTGACACGACATAACCTCAAAATGTGTAACGTCATAGCTTTGGCTTCACCTGCTTATGTAAGTAACGGGGTCTTAAGCACCTGGGCCGACGGGGTGACGGGGGGTCCGGTGAGAAGAGGTGGGGGTTTGATAAATACAAGAGACTTGATTTGTAGCGCAATGGGTTGCACCCTTTGTTGTAGATCATCTCGATCATCTTCTTTGTCTCCAAATATGTTGTTATCTTCTGTCACCCTTCTATCTGTCAACAAAGTACCGCGTAGTAGGGAATGAATCACCGATGCCCCCTACCCCTCTCCCTCCCCTCTCTAAATCCCTTCCCTCGCCACCTTCTCTCGCCTCTCTTCCTCTCCCCCCTCTCTCCCCCT